CTCTTTACTCTCAGTCTCTCTCTCTTACTTCTCTCTCTCTCTCCCCCCCCCCTCAGCTCTGCATGGGCTACCCCTCACCCCCCTTTTCTTCCTTATCCACCAATAAAACTCCACGTGGGACCGTTGACTCACGGTTTGTATCTCGTTACTGGGTACAAACCTCTACATTTTAACAACAGCAGGAATCTTGATTCAAAATTCTCCAAACAATTACCACCTGAAGTCAGGGGACCAGGGAAAATGTCTTTCTTTTGCCTTAGTTTCTCCATGGCAAATGGAGTGGTGTGGACTTAGGTGATCTCTGAAGTCCAGCTAAAAGCCAATATGCATGATTCTAGAACCTTCAAGAAATGGCCACTAAGACTTGGTTATGAAACAAACACCAGACAAAAGTTTCGTTTTTCTTTCTTTTTTTTTAAAAGATTTATTTATTTATTACATATACACCAGATTGAATTGTAGATGGTTGTGAGCCACCATGTGGTTGCTGGGAATTGAATTCAAGACCTCTGAAAGAGCAGTCAGTGCTCTTAACCTCTGAGCCATCTCTCCAGCCCCTTGTTTTTCTTTTGAGACAGGCTGGCCTTGAGCTTCTGGGTTCAAACAATCTCCATTCATCAACCCAGAGTGCCTGAGACTAGAACCTCACTTAACAATGTTTACACCAATGACTTTCAGCCACAGGGCCACAGACAGCACAGGGGAGGAATTCCTGAGTGGAAACAAACACATCTTATGCTCACCCCTGCTTAATCCCTAGAGAGTCCTGGCGGAGAGAGCCCTCTGTGGCAGGCTCAATGTCACTGGGTTAGTTGGCGATGAGGTCAGCAGGACTCACATCCCCAGGGGAAGAGTCCAAAAATACTCCTGAGTGGAGTCGATCTGGGATTCAAGGTCGGGGGCCCGGAAGTCACAGGGCAGAGCCCTGCAGTGGAGACATACATCTGCAGCTCTACAGTATGCTCCTTGGAGTCTTAAGCTGAGTATGGATCCACACGTGCACATGGGAACCACACAAGGCTGGGGAAGGAATCCCCCAAAATAACTCACAGGACTTTCTAGAGTTGACACTGAACGGGGAATAAATCGTCTTGCCCTTTCATCCACAGCGCCCCGCCCAGGATTCCACTATTGTCTCCGTAATGGGGCCTAATCAGCTGGACTAGAGACAGCTCTGGCTCCTCCCAACAAGACTAAAACCAAGTCTTGAAAAAAATCAGACTGTTAATAGCATCCCAGAACAATACTAAAAACTGCTTTAGAAGTGTTTGGTGCTGAACAGTGGTAGTGCATGCCTTTGGTCCCAGCACTTGGGAAGGCAGATCTGAGTTCTGGGCCAGACTGGTCTACAGAGTGTGTTCCAGGACAGCCAGAGTGTCTACACAGAGAAACTCTTTCTTGAAAAGCAAACCTTTTAAAAACAAACAAAACACAATCGTGTTGGGCTTGAAAGATGGCTCAGTGGTTAAAAGCACTAACTGCTCTTCCAAAGGACCCAGGTTATATTCCCAGCACCCACATGGCAGCTCACAACTGTCTGTAACTCCTGTTCCAGGAGATCTGCCACCCTCCCACAGACATACATGCAGGCAAAACACCAGTGCACATCAAATAAAAATAATTAAAAAGAGGCTTGGTGACCTCCACCTTTAGCCTCGGCAGCTGGGAGGCAGAGACAGGAGGGTCTCACTGAGTTGAAGCCCAGCCTGAGCTATACAGTGAGACCTTGACTCAAATAAAATCAGAAATTTTAAGCGAAAGAATATCTAACATTCAATAAGGTAAAACCCAAGCAACAGAAAGGCGAATTGGTGCCAAGGCCTGTTATAATCAAGTTGTAAGACGACGATACATTTTAGGACCCAAAAGAAAAACACTGTCATAGCCAGTAAGAGTGTAAAGGTGCTTGCTGCCTGCATTTCAGGTCCAGAGCCCACAGAAAAGAAGGCGGGTAGAGAGGGAAGGAGAAACGAGGATGGGCTCTGGCTACTTGAACCCAAGAGTGAGGTCCCTCAGGGAGCCAAGGCTCAGGCAGAAATCTGGGATTCCTAAGAGATGACTTACGTGGACCAAATCACCCACACGTTTTCCTGGAAAAACCGGGAAGAGCACAGAGGTAAAGCAGTCATGTGATCGGGGGTGTGAGTCAGCTGGTGCCGTTCCCAGGGACAACGGAAGGTGGAGGTTGCTCTATTCCCTTTTCACTGAGGGATTCTGGGGTATTGTGGTCGTAGGGTTGAATTTAGTGCGCTGGGCCTGGGTAGATCATTTTCAAAGTAAGCGCCTCACTCCTTCCTCTCTGGGACCTAGATGTCTAACTCTTCCACCCTGGAGCCACATCTGCTCTAGGAAAGAGGGTTTTCTCCAGCAGCTGCCACCGTTCCATGGGGGGCTCAGTGACTGGCTTGATGCAGGTCACGCAACTATATGTGAACCAACAGCTGTGTCCAGAGAGTAGATATTGTAGTTGCCTGCCTCTAAGCCGATTTCTAAAGCCCTCAAGAAGGAGGAAGTCTTACCGACCACAGGAACTACTCGTGGTGAACAGGTGGATGGATTCTTTGGTTCAAGTGACATTCTTCTGTTCTAGGAAAATCCTCCAACCACATGGTGGTTTGAATAGGTATGATCCTCTAGATTCATGTGTTTGAATGCTTGGCCTATAATGAATGAGTGGCACTATTAGTAGGTGTGACCTTGAGTAGGTGTGGCTTTGCTGGAGGAAGTGTGTCACTGTGGGGGCGGACTTTGAGGTCTAATATGCTCAGGCCAGGCCCAGTGTGCCATTACTTTCTTCCTGCTACCTATGGATCCGGATGTAGAACTCCCAGCTACCTCTCCAGCACCATGTCTGCCTGCATGCCCCTCCATGGTGTTAATGGACTGAACCTCTGCACTGTAAGCTAGCCAGTTAAATGTTTTCTTTTATAAGAGTTGTCGTGGTCATGGTGTCTCTTCACAGCAATAAAACCTTACCTGAGACAAACCATTAATCTCAGGTAAGTGGTGAAACGTTCCTGCACATTCCCAGAGAGCATGACAAGTGTAGTATGTGAAGATTTTACTTTATTACTCATGAGGCGGGAGCTGAAGCTCAGGGTCTTGCATGTGCCAGGAAAGCGTTCCACCACTGAGCGAGATCCCTAGTCCAAGATGTGGCTTTTAGATATCACAGTCACCAGAGCCAGACCTAAAGGGAATGACTGGAAATGAAGTCAAACATGTAAGACTAGGAACATAGATTAACTCCAAAGGTGCATTCCCGGGTAGAGCCAAACCACATACACTAACAGATATAAGGAGACAGTTGTTGTTTAAAAAAAAAAAACCCAAATGTGTCTTATAAACACAAAAAGGATTCTTAGTGAAGGTCGGCCCAACCTTTCTTTTCACTCAGATTTACACTGTGTAAAATAATTTCACTGATTTTCAGTCTGTAGGTGTCACATGGGCAACTTCAAGAACTGTACAATTCCATTGCTGGGTTGTGAATATTTAATTTTCTCCAAATAATTCTGACCCTTAAAGCTATTCTTTTTATTTCAGTGAGCATGTTCCTTTTAGGGAAAGCTCCTGCACTAGACTCTTGAAGTATTATACTTTTTTATTTAAAATACTTTTTAGTATAATGTGCTCTACTGACCATTTCCCTCCCTCATCTCCTCTCCACTTCCCTATCCTAACTCCGTACCTTCTTTCTCTCTCTCTCTTTAGAAAACACACAGGCAAATAAAAATAAAGAATGCATTAGTCAGGGTTCTCTAGAGTAACAGAACTTACAGAATTAATCTCTCTCTGTAGAAAGGGAATTTATTAGAATGATTTACAGACTATGGTCCAGCTAACCAACAATGGTTGCCAATGAATGGAAGTTAAAGAATTCAGTAGCCTGGATGCCTTAGCTGGTCTTATGTATATGCTGATATCCTCAAGAAGTTGTTTTAATGTCAGCAAAAGAATGGACTTGCTGCCGCCTTTAATCCCAGCACTGGGGAGGCAGAGGCAGGCAGATCTCTGTGAGTTCGAGGCCGGGCTGGACCGACAGCCTCCAAAACAATACAGAGAAACCCTGTCTCGTAAAACAAAAACAAAAAACAAAACAAACAAAAAAGAATGGACTTGCTGGCTAGGTGAGAGCAAACAGGAAAAGAGCAAAAGCTTCCTTCTTCTATGTCCTTACATAGGCTTCCAGCAGAAGGTGTGGCCCAAGTTAGAAGTGTGTTTTCCCAGCTCAAAAGATTTGGATTAAAAGTGTGTCTTCCTAAGGCTGGGTGGTAGTGGCACATGCTTTTAGTTCCAGCACTCAGGAGGCAGAGGCAAGGAAAATCTCTGTGAGTTCAAGGCCAGCCTGGTCTACAGAGCTAGTTCCAGGACAATTAGGGCTGTTACACAAAGAAACCCTGTCTCAAAAAACCAAAATCAAACCAAACAAAACAAAGGGGAGGGGATCCGATTCTGTATAGGCTGGAGAAAGGAAGTTGAGCACAGTTGCTCACACACTCCTTCATTCCTCCTGCTTCTTGACTCTGGATGCATGTGACCATCTGTCTCAAGTTCCTGCCACAGTGACCATCCCACAATGATAAACTATAACCTGGAATGGTGTGCTAATACAAACCATTTATCCCCTATATAGATTTTTCTCCGTATAGTAACACAGGGACAGAAATGAAACCGATATGGTAACTGGGCCCACTTGTTTGGCCAGAATGCGTTTCTCAGTAACTGGGCTGGTTGTGTGGATCGCCTTTCTCAGGGGAGAAAGTGTGACCACCCCAAACATGTTTGTGTGTATCTTAGGACCTGCAGTAGCCTGGGGTTCCTTATGGTTCAAAGACAGAACAGGATTAAGTGAACAAGGTACCAAAAGGAAAGTGCAATTTCAGATGCTGCGCAGGCAGGGACAAAGACCACGTGGCTCCTTTTCAGAGGCTGCCTTGGGTTTCTGAAAGAGCTTTTGGTGTGGCTGGCCTAGCGGGGGGGGGGGGTCTCTTGAAAGCATTCTGATGCCATCTCCTGGTGAGACCAAAGACTGGACGTGCCCAACAAACACCGAGGAAGGCCCTGCAGCTGAGCCTTCTTGCACCTGTCTTATGACCCCGAACTCCCCTTGTGCACACATCAACACTGCTTAGCTTCCAGGAGATCTCTGCAGAGCTGCTCGGTTGAAGTGACCGAGTTTGTCTCATCAGCAAACTCCTTCTCTCTCCCAGAAACTGTAATTCAGACCATCACATTGCCCACAGGTGAGTCACTAATGCAATGTTTGTATCTTCAAACAGATGTTTCTGCGCTAAGCTGGTGAGTTACACAAGGAATAGCTCTATTTGTAGACCCTTCAGGGTCAGAACAATCTGGGGGGGGGGTGTTTTCTGTTTGGTACTGGAAACGAGAGACTCATGACTCCAATTTCTGGAAACTGGCAGCCTTCTGCCAGTATCTCTGATTTTGTCACACATGTTTTAGCAGAAGAAAAGAGGTCTTCGGGAAGACTGCGAAACCCATTCTTTGAATGATGACAGGCGAGGCGGGTGGCGGGAGCTGGACAGGGAGCACACATTCTGTGTGTGTCAGGCAGCAGGTGACCAGGGACCAGCTCCAAGAAGGCGGCAGACTCAGGCCTGCACTTCATTCACAGCAGTAAGCAGCGGGGATAACGACAGTTCTTGTCCCATTTGTTGGTGAGATGAAGTTACAGGCTCAGGTGAGCAACAAGGCAAAGATGGCATCCAGGCTGTGGTGCTGCCTGAGAGAGTGGGGTGCCATGTCCAGATTAGGGACATTGTGGAAGAAGGGACATTTGAAAGGGAAGACCACAAGTGCCCCTTCTGGACGTCCCAAGTGTGACGTCTTCATCACCCAGGAGTATGATGTCTTCATCACCCAGGTGGATGACCAGAAGGCAGTCCCCCAGGGAGGGACTTTCGGAGGGGGTGACCAATGGTGAAGTTATCGAAAGGAGCTCCTGTTCTTGAGAAAACCCAGTGGGAAGGTCAAAGCCAAGTTAGAAAGATTTTTATTTTTGCAGATTTTTTAGGATGGAATTTTATATAAACCCGAGTTGTCCGTGTGTGTGTGTGTGTGTGTGTGTGTGTGTGTGTGTGTGTGTGTGTGTAGCCCTGGAACTGGAGTTACAGACAGTTGTGGGCTGCCATGTGGGTGCTGGGGATTGAACCCAGATCCTCTGGAAGAACAGTCAGTGCTCTTAACCGCTGAGCCATCTCTCCAGCCCCCGGTCACTAGAAATGTCTATCTTTTCATCCTGACTCTAGACTGCCCGTGTGGAGACAGGGTTTCTGGCTGGAACTTCCTCGGTCCTTTTGAGGCCTGAGGAGGTTGGGTATCAGTCTGGTTGCCCTCCCATCTCCCTTGGGGGCAGTTTTTACTGTGGATTTCAGGGTTGGCGGAACTCCAGGAATTGCTCCTGTGGCACTGGAGTCTATGGCGGATTGGTCCTGAGGAGAGCACAGGCCACCGCAGGAGGGCTCTGTGCTGATTTTCCAGCTTCAAACTCAGTCTCCTTCCTCTTTAGTCTGCCTGGACCAGCTCTTGGTCCCTTCTCACTTCCGTGAGCCCATCTTTCCTTCTTCAGCCAACAGCACGTTCATCCTTGTCCGGGACCTCGGGGCTTTGTCCTCCCAGACTGCCTGTTCTGTAGACCAGGGACCAATGTCTGCCTGCTGCCGCAGCAGCTTCCCGTACTGCGAGCCGTCACCCATTGTCCTTTATAGCCAGGTCTGACATCTCATCCTTGCTCAAACTGCACGCCCTGTGGTACACTCTGGGTTGCTAATTCTTCATGTAGGTGTTTGCTCCTGCCTCCTACCCTTTCTCTTCTTTGCTGACTCGACTTTACACCCCATGAAAGCTCAGTTTCCTGTTCTGTCCACAGTACCCTTTCTGCTTTCTCCGCAGATCCCTCCCTCCTCTGAAAATTTCCACCCAACTCACTGATGTTTCATCACCTTTCTTCTGCTACGGGTATGCTTTCTCCCGTGTGTCAACAAACGTGGTCGTCCCACTTCCTGGTGCTTGCTCGGGGAAATAGCATATATTATGTGCTTGGCACTTGACTAGCAGCTCTAAGTACTGTATGCAGGCTGGCTTTTTCCTACTGGCCCTTCCAGTTTGTCCTCTGCATGGATCATAACCCAGGAGGCTGACTTTCATGGTGCACCCACAGGCCCCCATCACTCCCTGCCTTCAGTGTGGTCTCCCAGCAGGACTGGGATAGGAGAACAGAGGTCAGGGGCTGCGGGTAGGGGTCCCCCTGTTCTCTGCTCTGGGGTTGCCCTGGTGGCTGTCATAGGTCTGGTATAGAAGGTCCTTTCTCGCCTGGCTCTTTGTCTCAGGAGGAAGAACCTGTTCTTTCCTGTCTCCATTAGGCTGAGGAAGTCACGGTGCCCTGGTGTCACTGGCGTGTCTCTACCTTGTGGCCCTGCATCTTCCCAGGCACCGTGGCTCACCATTGCAAATAGTCACCTCGCTAAGAGCTGAGTGACGCGGGTGGCCGAGCCTTCACCGGATGAGAAGCCAGAGGACTGAGCACCTGGGTGCTCCAGGACGGGAGAGACGGCCAGGTGCCACAGTGGCGTCCACACACAGAGAATCCTGGGAACATGGTGGCTACCCAAGAACTTTCTGTTTTTCTCTCTAAGGAAGAAACCTCACTGCTTTTAAGTTTTGTAAATGTAGTACCACCAAAGTCACCTTGATAAAAAAATGTACAGCCTGCTCTACTGAGAGTTTCTGTGAAGAACTAAAGAATGGAGGCCCCAGGGCAGGCTGCAGTCAGTTGGGTGGTGTAAAACCTGCTGTTCTGACGCGGGTGGCAGATGCTCCAACAGGGATGACGTCATTTCCTTCACAGTAAAGCAAGCAGCAATAGCATCGAGAAAAGATTAAAAAAAAAAACTAAATCTGATCCAACCAGCAATTCCAAACACCCCCAAGTCCCTTAGGGAGTCCCCAGAGAACATAGTTAATCAGACAAAGGAACTCCATTGAAAAGGAATTTCAATAAAGCTGATCTAAAGCATTTCTGAGAACTGAGTTATTTAAAAACGACCCCAGAGCTATGGAGAGCAGAAGCCAGTATCCAGAGGGCCTGTCTCGAGCTCCACCCAGGAGGCCACTTTCAGCCTCAAGGATTCCCAGCATAGCTCTTGGGTGAGTGTGTATGGGAGATTTTACTGCCCAAGGATGTGCTCGGATCCTGCTTCGCTGGAGTTAACTGGAAAAATAAAAATAAAAAAGATAGCTCAGTTGGGAATAGACAAATCTAAGACACTCATCTTTCCTAAACCCCATTAACATACAACCTCAATTCACAACTGGATTCGGTTACTTCATGGAGAGAAAGGCGTTTTTCTCTTACAGCTGCTGGTGCTGAGTCTGGCTGTGAGCAGGGTTAGCCATGACAAAGACAAGCCTGTGTGTTGTTGGTCTTTTCAAGCCCTTGCACTGGCACTGCCTGGCCCTGAGCTGTTTGGACCAGTTCCCCGGGGACCAGTACTTGTTTAGCTTTTTGTCCAGAGTCGATGATAGAAGAGGGAGCCGGGTGTCCTGTGTGACTGGTGGCACTCCTGGCCCACACAAAAGGATTCTGTGCTGGGGTGTCCCTCAGGAGTGGTTGTGGAGAGATCAGAGTCCTGGCAAGAGCATAGGAGTGCCTGGAGGCGACCCCAGGGGGTCTTGATATTAAATATTAATTTTCCCTCCTTATTTTTCTTTCTTTTTTCTTTTATTGAAAATAGATTTCTTTTCTTACAATATATTCTAATTATGTTTTCACCTCCCCCAACTATTCCCAGTTCCTCCCCATCTCAATCCACACCCTTTCAGACTTCCAAGGGATAATAATTAAATAAAATGAGATACAACAAAAACAAACAACTCAGAATAGGACAAAACAAATAAACAGAAGAGCCAAAGGAGGAACTCATACAGGCACAGACATACACACACCACAGACACACACACCACAGACACACACACACACACACACACACACACACACACACACACACGTATGCATGCACTCCCTCACATGCATAGGAATCTCCCTTCCCCTAAAAAAAACTCATAAAACCAGAAACCATAATATGTACACAAAGAAGATGTAAGGTCAAAAGAAAAGAAAAGCTCTGGCCCAGCATTAGGAAACAAAGACTGTCCAAAGATGCCACTGCATTAATTTTGCATTGACCATCTCCTACGGGGCTGACACCAACTCTTAAGAGTAGTTTGTTTCCCTAGTTAGACTCCCTTGGAGAAAACCAGTCTTTCCTTTATGAGGGGTTAACAATTGGAGATAGCTTCTGGGCGGGGGATGGGGCAGGGTTCACTTCCCCTCTCAGCTCTAGGACCCAACCAGGTACAGACGCACGGGCCCTGTGGGCGCTGCCTTGGCCTCTGTGAGCTGCTGTGTGCCTCGGTCCTGATGTTTAGAGGTCTTGCTTCCGTGTGTCTTCCATCCCCTCTGGCTCCTACAGCCTCTGTGCTTCCTCTTCCTTTTGGTTCCGGAACTTGGTGGAAACATCCGCTGGGCTGAGTGTTCCGAGGTCTCTCTGTGCGCCTTGCCCAGCTGTGTATCGAGGTATCCTCTCCATCTGCTGCAGGAGGAATCTCCCTGATGACGGCTGAACAAGGCAGTGAGATATGCGTATAGCAGACTGTCATCAGGGATCATTTTATTGCCCCATCCCTTTAGCACAGAGCTTCCCAACCTGTGGGTCTTGACCCCTTTGGGGGGATGCATATCGGACAACCTGCACATCAGACATTTACATTACGATTCATAACACTGGAAAAATTACACTTACGGAGTAGCAATGAAACAATTTTGTGCTTGGAGGTCACCACAACATGAAGAACTATATTAAAGGGTCGCAGCATTAGGAAGGTTGAGAGCCACGGCTTTAGCAGAACGGTAATATCTGATTTTCCCATAGATCATTGGTCTTAGTCTCGGGTTCTTGACCACCAAGCCGTGTCAGGCATGGGCTCTGCCTCATGGAGTGGGCCTTGAGTCAAGCCAGATCTCGGCTGGCTGCTCCCTCGTGCCGCTATTGGGCCGGCGTGCTCGCATGCTGGCCACCGCAGCAGGCTGAAGGCCGTGTGGCTTGGTTGGTGTTTACCTTTCTGTATTATTTTTTAATGAGACAGGGTCTCATATAGCACATGTTGGACTTAAACTATGTAGCTGAGGCTGTCCTTAAACCCCTGGTCCTCCCACTTCAGGCTG